CAATTTTGCATAATTTATTAGCAATTGATTTGCCCATAAGTTATCCAGATGTCAGCGAAAACAAAAAGAAGTGAGTTACATATGATTGTTACATGCATAGTAGTTAACAGTGCCCGGAGCATGCGGTTTGAGTGCAAAGACCAGCGAGCCCAATGTCAGCACTATTTCCTTGTTGCAGTGACTGACTTTTATGTAGCATAGGGAAAGCACAAAAGTGCAAAAGCTCACTTTTCCAATTTTACTTCTTTTTCTGCTTTTCTGTTCTTTTTTCTTTTGAGTTAACTGTTGATTAGTGACTTGGATCAGTTTTGAGAAGCATTGAGTAACTTATTGTAAGTAGGGTAAAAGCTGCAGTCCTGCAGTTTCTCTTTCCTCTCCACCATGACCTTTGATGGCTTTGTCTTCTCTTCAAACGATAAGATGAGGACATGGATAAAATTGATGAAGATCTTTAGATGCTTAATATTCTCTGGGTGTTGGAATGCTTTAAATTTTTAACCTGTGAAGATTTCTTCTCTACATTTTACTTTTTGGTCATCACTTAATGTCAAAATTTTATATGATTAGCATTTAAGCTGTTTTATGTTACTTTATTGTTAACATATGGATTTTAACTGAGGGTGCAATTTATGGTTAAAGTACTCTTAGCATGCTATGCTTTGGTTATGAAGCAAATCTTGGAGGAAAGATCTATATTATACGCTCAAATCTGTTTGAAGTTGCAATTCCTTGACTTGTGTTTTTTAAAATTGACTACCTTATTGACTTGGACAATGTGAACCAACTGATTATAACTTTAGACTCTTGGCAAATGCAGAAGAGTTATTTTGATAACGAGAATGTTTGATGTATGCTTGTGTTTCAACCCTCAGTTTTAAAAATGCACACATTAGTAATATCAATTTTCTGGTCCTAACTCAAATCTGAAGTAGCAGATGGCTTATGTTTGTTTTCCCTCAGCATGAATGGTTCAATTCTGATGTTTTTTTGATATTTTTGATAAGTTTCAGTGGAAGTATTTTTCTTGACCATTTAGTGATTAATGTGTTGGAAATGGTTGCTTTGCAGGTCCACCTGGATCTGGAAAGGGAACACAATCACCACTTATTAAAGATGAATACTGCCTATGTCACTTGGCTACTGGTGATATGCTTAGAGCCGCTGTTGCAGCCAAAACCCGGCTTGGAGTTAAGGCTAAGGAGGCCATGGATAAGGTATACTATGTTTTTAATTGGTACATTTACTCGTAAATTTCTTCTGTGGTATGTGCTTGGATGCATTTGCTCATCTGTATATGGAATCCCTTTCTCTCTGATTTATTTTGATTGTGCTGCTTCTTAGGGAGAGCTTGTATCAGATGATTTGGTTGTTGGTATAATAGATGATGCTCTGAAGAAGCCTTCTTGTCAAAAGGGATTCATTCTTGACGGATTCCCAAGGACAGTGGTCCAAGCGGAAAAGGTTTGAATTGGTGCAGCATACAGATTTTATCAACTTCTTATTGATATCTAGTACTTTTACTGAATATGGGTACATGTGTTGATCATAACCATGCTATAATTTCTTCCTGTTCAGCTGGATGAGATGCTTGAAAAACGAGGTGCTAAAGTTGACAAAGTTCTCAACTTTGCAATTGATGATGCAATCTTGGAGGAGAGGATTACTGGACGCTGGATCCACCCTTCAAGTGGTAGAACCTACCATACAAAATTTGCGCCCCCTAAAGCACCTGGAATTGATGATGTAAGACTTCAAATTGTTTGTCCTATTTCAGTATTTTGGTTCTGTGACTGGTATCTGGATGCCAATCTATCTATGAGTAACTATTTCTGGTTCTGTGACTCTTGTATTTTAATGTCCTTGTGAATATTCCCAATATGGATCAAACTTTGGGACGACAATTAACTATTAATTCGTTGATGGGTTATTTGGAACCAGACACGCAAAGGCTGACTCTGTTGTGCATTTTTTTTTTCCTTTTTGGGTGAAGGTCACTGGAGAGCCTCTCATTCAACGCAAGGATGATACTCCTGCCGTGCTCAAGTCTAGGCTAGAGTCCTTCCACAGGCAGACTGAACCGGTATTCTTTCATTTTCTTATGTTTCATGGTTTCTTGACTGCTGATATTTTCATTCTCCTGCCTTGGTTTGCTTCTGTAATTGAACTGTGGCCTATGAAACAAGACTTTGATACATCATTAGATGCCTTTACAACTCATTTCATGTTTGAGAAAGTGTAGGTTTGATTTGTCAAAAATCATTTCACTAGGTTTATATCTTGTCTTTAAAATATCTCTTCCAGATTTCCATAAGTAGGACACAGAATACATTGAGGTAAATAATGGGGATGGAGATTTTGTTCTCAAAAGCTAGTTTTCTTTATATGCTTGACCTCTGGTAAATACTTGAAAGAAAATGGGTGTCATCAAAATTAGGCGAGTGCGAAGATAAGCACAAAAATAGTGAAAGGATATTAGTTGTGGTCTAACAATTGTTGGCATCCATGCTTCCATGTTTTGTCGGTTAATTGATACAGACAAATACTCCCAGAGGCACACTGTGTGGAGGCAGATGCTGTTGAACTGAACAATTGTTATTTCACTAGTTTTAAAACTCCTGGGTCTTAATCGTGTTGATTAACAGCTGTTGCACACTGCTATTGTATAATCTAAAGCAGTATTAGAGTGTGCTGAAGAGACAGAAATGGGTGAAATTACAAGCTTGCAGGGTCAAAGACAGATGAATTTTGAGATCTATGGCTAACAAGTATAAATGGCTTTTGCATTGTCAATATTGCATTGGTCCTTAAAAATTTGCAATGTCTATTGGTTAGTATCTATCCATGTAATAGTGAGGTTGTGCTTTGACTCAGTTAAATATGATCTGGGACGACCATTCTTATGGTTAAATCGGGTACTAAACAATGCCATATGGTGCTGAATAGGCTTAATAGGTAATATATTTGTTTCTGGTGCTGAGGCATTGGCTATAAGACGTCATTAAGAGTTCTGTGCCATGCTGCTTGTTCTGGACTGAGGCCTTGAATCTGCTCTATATCAACCTGGTTTACCAATTTGGTTGCATATTTTAAGATGTCCTTTTGGCTTATGCAGGTTATTGATTATTACAAGAAGAAGGGCATCGTTGCAAACCTTCCTGCTGAGAAGAAACCAGAAGAAGTCACGTCCGTGATTAACAAGGCACTCTCCTGATTGAAGAGGCTGCTGAGTTTTTCTGTTGACTAAACATTGAACTTCTGTTTATGTGGATTTTGGTCACATAGATAAAATACATCATTCAGTTACTGACGGACCTGCTTCCTGCGTGGGGTTTTTGCCTTTTTAACGCTAAGCACGCTTCGGAAATAGCTTTGGAAGAGCTTCTTACTCTTGAGTTATAAAATAAATGTAGACATTTTTCCAGAGGATTATGTTCCATTGTATTGCATTGTTTCGAATCATTCAATGGAGTTATGCTCTTGTGGGAAATGGGGCTTGGGCCGTTTTACTTTTGTCTCATTGACCTTGTTTACAAGTGGAATTGACCTCGACACCCCAAATTCGATTGTTATTTTCTGGAGTTTTTGTAGAAAAATATATTGTAATTATTTGATGCATGTGAGGGAAATAGTGAGTGAAAAATATGTTCAAACAGGTGATTGAAAAGTTTGTTTCTTGAAAAGTTTGTTGAAGCAAAACGTAAAACGTTTTTTGGGAATAAAAATGGCAATCCAAGGAAGTTAACTTTCTGTAAAAAAAAAAAAAAGGTTCATTTTATATTATTTAACACCATGAACATAATAAAGGGAAATGCTGCCGTATTTCCATGGGTGGTGCATTTTTTTATTCATGTGAGGCAAAGAAGCACTAGTCGGGAAACTTTTGAAAAGGCGTGGTATGGTCCATTTGGAAACATTTCAAAATTAGGAAAGTGGGGTTTGATGGTGGCTGACTATGGCATTTGCAAAAGTGTGACGCAGAGATGAAGGTTGGACAGATTCTATATTTTAGGGAAACATTTTTTTTTTTTTTTCAAAAGTGAGACTAATCTGAGAAAGTATCTAAATATAAGAATGTAATAAATTTGAATATGTGTTTTCAAATGCTAAAGTAGATAAACTTTAAATATAGTAACGTGTGTCTTATTCTATCAGTTAAGGCGTCGAGGGTTTCGTGGCTGCTGCAATTTGAGGCCTCCAAGGCATAGACTCTTTAAAAGGTTAATTCCACTTTACACCCTTTAATTATATCTAAATTTTCACTTTAGTCTTTAAATTTAAAAGGGGACACTTTAGTCTCTAAATTATAAAATTTGTCACATTCGAGTAATTTCATTAAGGAAGTGGGACAGATTTTATGCCTAAGTAGGTATATTTTAGGGACTAAATTGGGATAAATTCTATACTTTAGGAATTAAAATAGACAGATTCTATATTTTCGAAACTTAAGTACAATAAATTTTATAATTTAGAAATTAAAATATCCCATTTTAAAATTTAAGAACCAAAATGAGAACTCGGGTATTGTTAAAGGGCGCAAAGTGAAATTAACCCCCTCTATGAATGACCACGTTCTAATTAGGACAGCTTATAATAATAATAATAATATAATGTTGCTTCGAATCGATTGAATTGATTAAATACCTCAAAAGATAGATCTATAAACTTTTCGACATGGATATGCGTGAATGACTTGACAATCTTAGTAGGACAATATTGTAGTCCACATCACATCACCTGCAACTGCTCCTAGCGATTTTATGTATTTTACACGTCGCGTAATTTTATTTATACAGCGCGTAATTTTGTTTGCACAATATATAATTTTAAAATAATTTTTGTGAGTCCCATACATATTATAAAAAATGAGATACAAAAAGTAATTTGGATCGTACAATTTTTTTAGATCAAATTTTAACCATGAACAGCTCAGAAGCGATCCATCTGATGACCGCTCCTACCCTTATCCACATCGGATGGTCTCATCTGACCGAAACCCCCAATAACTCCACTATACTTGGAACAAAAATGAGTCCACCTTCCCCCCCAGTCCCTGCATTTTTCACTTCTTGCACAGTCTTCTTTTGAACATCCCTCTGCAAACTTTAAAGGTATGTTCAGTTCTAGACCTTCCATTTCATTTTCCTTTTCTTTTTTCCAACTCAGTTGATGTATATCAAGTCTTATGCAGCCTTTTTTTTGGAATCTACTCTTGATTTCATTGCTTATGTCTTGCTTTATCCATGACTAATTTTTGCAATTGGATATTTAGGTGTATTTATGTATATCATCTGCTTCGGGATATTATCAGGTGTTTTAAGTCTTCAACTTTAAAAAATCTCGGATCATTATCATGTTGTGGCTTACTACTTGATCCAACATCAGTATCCACCTAAGCAGAGGAATAAACTGAACCAGTTATCCTACTAAATTTCCAATTTCAGCAGTTATGATCTTCAATCATGCATGTCTTCCTAAAAATATTACTAGTATGTTTCCTAGGATTACAATCTTCCTCTTCCTTATTTATTTCAGCTGATATTTTCTTCTGTGGTGGTAATTGACTAAGTTTTGCCATGTCAATTTGGCTTCAAATGTCTGGCGTCGTTATATCTTGCAACAATTAATTGCAGTGGATTTCTGGACAAAGTGAATATGGCATCATTTCGAGCATTCTTGAACAGCCCTGTTGGCCCCAAGACGACACACTTCTGGGGTCCTGTAAGCAACTGGGGATTCATTCTTGCAGTATGCTTCTCTCCTGTGAAATATCATATCCAATGCACAATTCCTTAAGTTTATGGTAGTCAAATATGCATTTAGCCTGAGCCTAATGGTTTTGACAGGGATTAGCTGACACGCAGAAACCCCCAGAATTGATATCTGGCCAAATGACAGGAGGTTTTTCTAGATATATATATATTTTTCTAATCAAAGGGAAGACTTTCTGGAGTTGGGCTCTGATATCTTTGTGCATTTCATCATTCTGCAGTGCTGTGCGTATATTCGGCATTGTTTATGAGGTTTGCTTGGGTGGTACGGCCACGGAACCATTTTCTTATGGTGACTCATGCCTCGAATGAATGTGTGCAACTATATCAGCTATCTCGTTGGGCAAAGGGCCAGTGGTACGTGAGTATGTATTTGAGGGTTTAATTTTTTCTAATAACAAAAAGAAAGGCTTAAATCAGTTGATGACGATCTTTGTGTCTTTAATCAGCATTATTTCCTTGGGGTTTTTTTTTTCCTGGTACCATCAGCTTCTTTTTTAGCATAGTCTGTCCAACTGCCACAATTCTGTCTGTCCTTTTGTCTGAAGTAGCATTTTGTTGTTAAAAAGCATCACTAACAGGAAGTAAAAATGATGCCTGCTACCAAATGCTTCAATGGTTTTGTGTTTCCAAATCATTTCTAGAAATCCAATTACATTTTATATTTTTACCTTAAAAGAGGAAGCTTGAGAAGTTTGCTCAAGCTTTGATTAGATTGTGACAACATTCATGATGGCTTCACCTTCACTTCCACAGTGCACACTTCACTGTGGCGTCTGTCTAGCCAAAATAGTTGCATGATGTGGGGCAAATAAGGGAGTGGAAGAAAATAATTAGCACAAAAATGGAAAAAGGAACTGTAAATGTTTGAGAAAAACCAGTTCTCTCCCTGCTTGAGTTGCTGAGAGGAATTTCGAAATTCTTCAGATTGATACCTGTTACTGCATCTTTCCAGTTTTTGGCTTATTTCTAGAGCAGTAAATAACCAACTGGAGGCATCCATCGCTTATATCTACTGTACTCTGATTTTCGTTAAGACAGGAAATTGCTTATTTGTATCTTTGCGTCTGGTTCTTTTTGTAGGTACTTACAGCACAAAGAAGACAAGCCTACAACATCTCAGTGATCTGGATCTACGTTTTATGTCTATATGCATATGTAGCATTCGAGGCGATCCTCATTCTTGCAACTGTTTAAACCATTTGTAGACAATAAAATGCACAGAACAGAAGCAACATTCTTTATCTTATATGTACTGATGTATCCATATGACTGTATAACCATTTCTATATTTATCTTATAGAAATGATGAAGAAGCTAGCAAAATGCAAGTTCAAACTCGTAAACCTTTTGGTTGCCAACATATACAATTTCACTTCAACTAAAAATTTCTTTAAGATTTCCCTTTTGTTTTTTTTTCCGGCAGAGGAGAGGTGAGACTTAAGAAGCGGAGATGGAGAGGAGGCAGCGGGGTTTGTGTTACGATACTCCTTGAAGCTTTATACACTATTTTGCTTTTCTTAAAGAAGGCAAGGAGCAATGGTCTTTCTTTCTTTTGTTTGTTTGACAGAAATACCAAAGGAATTTTATTGATCAACATAATGAATCTGCATCAAGAACAGAGATGACAAAATCAGGAACCTCTCCAGACACAAGTATCTAATATAGAACAAGCATTTCTTGCTAACAACTGAGCTGCTACATTAATCCTTCTTGGTAAAGGGCTTTCCAATCAGAAACAACTCTGTGACAGCTTGCTTGGAAAATTTGATCCAACTGTCATATTGTATGTTGCTCATACCTCTTTTCTCTGCGCCAAAATCCCTCTCTACTCTTCCCCATCAGCCAATTTCCCTGCGGGAGACACCTTCAATTCGCTTTTCGGTTTTGTCTTGAGGCTGTGCTCGGTTTATAGAGATTACAGGAATTGTTGTGAATATAGAATCGTACCATTTCATATGGTTTTCGAAACCAAGAGTGACCAGAAACCACGACAAACAAAACAACAAAATACAGCGGGCACAACCGCGGTAATGGTCCGGCATAATTCTGCTGGACTGTTGTACATTTTACAATATTTGATATGCAAATTTATATAAAACATTACACCAACATATGGCATATCCTATCCTAACAATAATAAATGTTTGAGTTTATTGATAGGCAAAGCCTTTTTGGATTCAAGCAACAATTCTACATAGCTCCATATGTAGTGCACCCATAGCTCCAATTCTACATTCTCATGTGTCCAGGACAAAATTGCAAAAAACCAACTGGAGCGCTTGCAAATTTCCAGTTTACTTGCCATCACTGCAATCTCACTTTTCCAAAGTCCCAACCATAGTAAGATCACTTAATTACTCAAGTCGTTTCAATAGGTTTGGGCAAATTATCCTCATATATATGCTTGGCATGCAAGTTATGGTTCATTCTTCTACCTATTCATTGCTCATGTCTTCAACGTTTTCATCGGCTAATTATTCTCTTGCTCAAATTGATTGTCTTGTCCTAATGGTTATCTTGTGCTTTTTATGGAAGCCAAAGAATCACAAGTTCATTTCGAGGATTATTCATTTTCTGTTGTAGAAAATACAGGTTAACATTAAGGTTAAGGTTCATTTTTTATCCATAATCCCACTAATTCAGATTCAACAATGAAACTGCAGGTTAAGGTTCCTCATTAATATTTCTGATGCCACTGGCATGTTCACAGCAATAATTGAAGATCAACATGCTTATCAGATAATTACAGATTGGCACAGATGATATACTACTGATGGCACAAAAGGAAATATTGTCACAGTCGAAAACTTTTCTCAATGAATTTTATAACTTCAATTATTTGCATGATTAACAATATTGGCGATTCCGATATGAATCAGCCGAGTCGTAGCCGGAACTGATTCCTGAATCGCAGATATTACCATATCCACGGTGACTCGTTTTGATTCAGCCGATATTAACCAATTTGAATCCGTGATGTGTGATATCGGCTGATATATCCGAATTTACTTGAAGTCGACTTGGATATTTTTTCAGATTGTGCATTTTTTGGTATTTTCTAATTTTAGTAAATTTTTCAGATTTTTTGAAAATTTTTTTGTGCTATAATGTGTGTATCATCCGATATTCAATCGATATGCTGCGACAGATATGGAACAACTGAGATCATGATGCGACCGCTACCCGACGGCGAACCATGATTATTTGATGAAATAAAAATCTACTACAGAATGAACAACCAGATCTGCCTAATGCCAACGAAAGACTTGCAAAAGAGATCGATGTACTGCCTCCAAGTGAGGAAATTTACTCAATCCTCCTCTAGGAAACAATAATATAATGACAGAATACACCATAACAGCATGCCTACCAAGTACCAACTAAAGCTGTACTACTACTGCTTCCAGCAAATCAAACATGAAGCATCACCATCTTAGGCTCCATTACTCCAACAACAACTGAGTCCAAAAAATGAAAAAGAATCAGTTGCCTGGTTGACACTATAGCCTGACCACCTCTTTGAGCCCCTTCTACTTCCTTCTCACCTGAAGGCACTCCCGCAACAACCGCAGAAACCATTGAGCCACCAACATCGACAGGAAGCCACCTGCAAGCAACAACACCCCAGCCAAATAAGCAAAGGTAGGGTAAATCAACTTTCAACCATGACAATCGCGCTTTATGGATACCATCTTTTGCCTAGCCAATGTTATAGCATCGACTTCTTGATACTTTTGTCAATGTTAAAGCCTCATCTCCATGCACTCTGTGTCTGGTAGCTAGAACAATTCTTTGGTCAAGGTTAACTAGCTCTTGCTGGCTTTTGATGGCCTGCGGACAAACTTCATAAGGCCTTGTGTAAATGTACCTTATCTATGAATCTGAATACATGAAACTAGTACAAATCCCTGCAAAACTTCAATTACTAAGACACATTTTTCACCAAATCCCTGCAAAACTCAATCGAATAAAAAAATTCGGGTACCCTCGCATGATGCCCAAATCAACTACTACAAACAAAAATCACATCTTTAACAAATAAAAAAAATATAGAATTCCCATACAACAAGATAATGTAATTATATAACTAAACATGTGACTAGTGCAATAATCTTACACAATTATACCTCCACGAGTCGTACCTGCCTGATTCCCCGGCGCAGCAGCCATGTTAACAGCCCTCTTTAACCAGCTATCAACTCAAACATTTGATATCCTAAAAAGAAGTCCACCGGCCATGTTAAGGATCTCAAACCAGCTATCAGCTAAGTATTTAATATCCTAAAAAAGTCCTCTCTTGTTATAGAGTATTATCTTTGGGTAATTATATCCCGGCGGCTTATTGATTAGTATTACTTTTAATGATATTGGCATCCCTTTCGAATCCTACAACAACTGCGATGGAGGAAATAAAAGACACAATAAGAACAACTCAGCTTTTCCTCCCACCAGCTAAAACTTAAAACACATACTAAACTAAACACACGTACGTTAATGGCGAAAGCACCAAAAATAGACCCCAGAAATGGGCTTTGCTCAGAGACGAAAATCTTCCACAGCCTTAGACCACCAGTTCCATTACCACCACCTTCTGAGCCAATTTCCATTACTGAGTACACTCTCTCCCTCCTCCATGCTTCCACCACTCCCACCACCCCGTTCCTCATTGACTCCGCCACCGACCACCGAATCTCTTACGCGGACTTCCTCAACCAAGTTCAGTCCCTCTCCTTGTCCCTCCAGTCCCATTTCCCTTCCCTCTCCCAAAACGACGTTGCCTTCATTTTCTGCCCTCCATCCCTCCATGTCCCAGTTCTCTACTTCTCCCTCCTCTCCCTCGGCATTATCGTCTCCCCTGCCAACCCTCTCTCCTCCACCTCCGAGTTGACCCACATGCTCCAACTCACCAAACCCAGCATTGTATTCACCACTTCCTCCCTCTGTCACAAGTTCCCGGAAACTTTAAAATCTATCAATAGTGTCTTTGTAGACCAGCCGCAATTTCAATCCATGCTCTCGGACACCACCACTGGCAGTGGAGTGGTGGGTAAGCATGCCGGCCGTGTCATCAGCCAAAATGACACGGCCGTTATACTTTACTCGTCCGGTACAACTGGACGAGTCAAAGGGGTGGAGTTATCCCACCGTTGCTTAATAGCCACGTTAGCTGGTTTTTACTATAACAGATACGAAAGCGGTAAAGATAATGCTGAAGATCTTCCTCGTCAGGTGATGCTGTTTTTCTTGCCGATGTTTCACGTTTACGGGTTTTTTGGGCCAATAAAGGCTGCGGCGTTGGGCGAGACAGCGATTTGGTTGAGGGGGTTTGATTTTGAAAAGATGCTTGAGGCGGTGGAAAAGTATAAGGTGACATACATGCCCGTGGCGCCGCCGCTAGTGGTGATGTTGCTTAAGTCGGATTTGGTGAGTAAGTATGATCTTAGTTCCCTGCGCCAACTTTTATGCGGTGGTGCGCCGCTGGGAAAGGAGGTCTCTGAGCAGTTCACGTCCCGCTTCCCCCACGTGGAGATTGTTGAGGCACGTATCTCTCCGTCCATTTTTTTTTTCCGATGCATTTTGGGTTGAATCTTTTTGCTGTCCCATGGTCGACGATTGCTACGGGTTAGGAATTGATATGCTTTGCAGTTCGCATCAGGGGTCTCTCTAATTCATTCAGTCTAATTCGGTTAATTTTTATAACTTTTGGCATAAATTCCTACAATTTTAGTATAATAGTGAATTAATTATATAAATTCACAAAATTTATGTTTATATCCAAATTATATAAATTTATACCAAATGTTGTAAAAATTACATAACTGGATGGAATCGGATAAAATTTTAATTGAAGATGTCCGGATTTGTTTTATTTAAAATGCTTTATAACTGAGGTATTTTTTTCAAAGAATTTATATCATTTTTCCTTGTCAACTAATAGTACAATAAATTTTTTTTTTTTACTTCCATTGTATTGAGTTTCTCCCTATTTTAGGTTCATTGTCATCTTTTTTTAAAATTAATTTTTATAACCATAAGTGATTAAGTGTAACTATAAGGAATCAAAACACTAATCAAAAGAAATCGAAACTTAAACTAGGACTGGAGAATCCAGAACAATAATCATAACTGTTTTTACAAGAGTCCGTTTCGATTCTACCTTTTAAAGGAATTGGCGATTTTTGAATTAGTTTTGAAAATGTTGCCGCCCCTAAGTGGGAGCTCGAGCTAATCGAAACCAAATTACCACATCCTTGTGCTATAAAATTGTACCAAAAATGGATATGCATTATCATAGTAGGATGGGGCGGCAGTGAAGGTGGAGGTGCAGGGAGAAAATTTCCCCCCGTCTTAAAACGGGGAGGGGTGCGGGGCAATTTACGTCTGCCTCATCCTCTGCCCGTTCTCTGCATACAAAAAAATTATATATATATAATAATTTAGTTATAATCTAATTCTTTATATTTAATAATATAATTGTATACCTCTAATGACTAATAAGTAATAATGTATTATTTAATAAGGTAACTAAACTAATAGTACTATATTATCTATTCAGACTAAATGTAAACTAATAAGGTTTCCGTCTTGACAGTTTGTTAATTTTATTTAGGTTCCATTTGATAAAACTGAATCTGAATTCTGAAGTCTGAATTTTGAAATTTGAATATTGAAACAATTAATTTGCTGAATTTTAAGCACTGAAAAGAAATATATGAATGTCTGAATTTTAATGCTTAACCTATTTATACTATTTGATAAACATTTATAACTAAATGCTTAATAAGTTAAGTTTGATAATTTTGCCCTTATATCTTTTCATCCAAAAAAGAAATAGAACCTATGATTTAATTAGCTAAAAATGTTAGGTATGAAAATGACAATATTTATTTTTAAAACAAATTAATATAAAAAATGAAATATATTATATAAGGAGTATGGAGAATATGTGAAAGTCATTCAAAAGGGAGAAAAAAGAAATAGAAAATCATTAGATAGAGAATATTAGGTTGTTTAATTAGATAAAAATTTTGAACATAATTAACAAACAAGGGTAGATTTGGTAGATAAGATAAGGTAGTTGAAGTAATTCTATTGATTTTTATAAGAATTAAGCATTCAGTTAGGATTCTTGTGCTGAAAAAAATACATACAAGTTCAGCACTACTTAACAAGTTCAGCAAATGGATTTTCATTTATCAAACACTCAAAACATCTAAATGTCTGAAAAAGTTCAGATTCAGCACTTTTTTATGTTATCAAACAGACCCTTAGTGTTTTTTACAATTGTATTTCTGTAAGTGAACATACAATTGTGACTTGATGCTATTACATTTCAGTCGGATGTTTTAATTTCATTTTCATGATATTGACAAGTTGCTAATTTTCTTTAATTATTAGTATTTGTAACTTATTGAATGATCTAAGATTTAATACTTGAGTATGTGTTTATTGAATATGTTAAAATAAAATCAATGATAAAATTATCTTATATATGAGCAGATTGTTGAATATGATAAGTTGATTTATTTTCTCGCGGGAGAGACCGTAGGAGAAACGAGACGGGGTAGGAGACCGGAAGGTGAGAGAGGGAGTTATTTGACAATGGGGCGAAGGGCGAGGCGAGGGATACTTCCCCCGTCCCAACCCTGCCCCGTTGCCACCTTTAATTTTTGTACTCGAGGCTGAGGGAGATGGGTAACGCGCTACGGATTAGTTAGTATTTGCTAATAAGGACAAATTTCTGCTTGATTATTTGGTCGGCCATGTTTTGTTTTGGATTTTCTTTTTCAAGTAACAAATCAGAACTTAGCAGTTCCAAATGATGTAATGTAATAAAATGTAGTTCTAGTTCCAAGTCAAGGTTCCTTTGCACCTACAAATAACAGAAAAAAGGTAGTAACACAATTAGTAATTAGTGCCGACCTTTTTCTCAACAACGTGCTCTTGCAATCATTCTTATGAAGTAAATACAAACGTGAGATGTGCACTCGGTAATCATAATCAACCACTAATCAAAAACATAAAAGGAAGTGTTTGTTAGTATTCTGGATTGGGAATCGAAATCAGAACGATAAACCCCTCTAGGGGTAATGGGTTTTGGTCGTTTCCACTTGTGTGTTCGCTTTTGCACCGGAATAGGTTTCCTCAACCAATGAGTTAATCATTTTGAAACTCAAAGACTTAAGTGGAGAATGATATGAAACAAAATGTAACATTTTCATTTTCACAGTGGTCTACCAAATAATATGTACCAAACACCTTTTAGAACTAATATCTGATCCTCATAACCATGTACCAAACACCTCCTAACACCCCCTAGGTATGCTTTAAGATAAATGTACTAGGCAATAGGCATCTCCAATCATTTTGAAACTCAAAGACTTAAGTGGAGAATGATATGAAACAAAATGTAACATTTTCATTTTCACAGTGGTCTACCAAATAATATGTACCAAACACCTTTTAGAACTAATATCTGATCCTCATAACCATGTACCAAACACCTCCTAACACCCCCCTAGGTATGCTTTAAGATAAATGTACTAGGCAATAGGCATCTCCAATCAAATTCTTGATCCTTTCCTGCTCAATTGATCCAATTTTTGAAAGCTTTAGAAATAATCTTTAAATTAACATACCAAAAAATTTTCTACGCCATGCAGGAATTACAGTATTTCCTATCCAAGCATTTAGTTTACATTCCATGATTCGATCATGTGCACTAAATGTATTGGTTGTTTTTGCTTCTAAAATTTGTTTCTGCACAGCATTACTGGAAAGTGTGGAATTCCTCCATGGTATCTGCTTAAGTACTTTGATCAGAAAAAATATTTTCCTAGTATCCACTTTGCCACTTCGATCAGGATAAGGATATTTCATAATCTGCAAATTACAAAATTAGTTTACCAAGTTTTCTAAATACCATGTTATTATTGGTTGTAGATTAATGCATTTGGACTATATCATATGTTCTTCATCCAGCAAGAAAGCCTACTAAGTTTCGGTTGTTTTTGTTGTTTTTTGTTTAATCAAGTGTTTCGGCAGCTGTAACAGTATGTTATACGACGACGTGAATTCTAAATGATAATTCTTTCAGTTTAAATTGGTTGCAGGGATATGGAATGACTGAGGTCGGGGGAACAATTTCACGGATGTTAGGGCATGAGGAGACTAAGAAATATGGATCTGCAGGTCGCCTGGATCAGAACAGGGAAGCCAAGATAGTAGATCGTGATAGCAAAGAAGCTTTAGCACCTGGTCAGCGAGGTGAACTATGGATTCGAGGGCCTGCAATCATGAAAGGTGAATATTCATGCACCCAATTTTACCGCTCAATCTTGTCGTGGGATACATTTTAACAAATCATGCTTTAGGACAACATCCTTCAAGTAATCAAAAGGCTGCATTTTCAACCTTATGCTGCAAACTGATCAGGGTAATATCGAAAATGATGCTATCACATCACTTGTGATCCCATGGTTTTTCATGTCCGTATATAGTGCTGTGCTTGTGGAATTCATCAGCGTTTACTTGCTCATGTTTGTTTGCTCTTGTAGTTGATTTGGAGATATTTCTTCACGTTTGATATAGGAAAACACAAGAGGACCTTATTTTTTTTTTATTTATAATTTTCTATAAGAGGACTTATTTCTCTGATAGTTTGAAAATACTCTAATTTGTGACCCCCTTGAGTGATAGTTTAGCTAGTAGAGTTATATTATGCCATCCTTTTATTCTCATGGTCTCTTTTTGTGTTTTCTTGAGTATAAAATGGTGCATATGCCTGAGCTACCTCTACAAGAATTTGATATCTTAAATCCTCTCATTTCTATTGGAGTTGTTTAATTCATTGAGTTCTATCCATTGGTTGCCTACTACCCTGACGTTAATTACCAGTTCTAATTGATTACCTATTCCAAATGTAAATGGCTTTCTAAACCTAAGTGCTTAGTAGTAAGGGCTTGTATCAAACTTCAAACTCAGAGAGTTAAATGGTGCATCCTAACTTCTTTTATGGTATAATTGCCTTCTTTTGATGATACTATTTTCCTTGGCCTTAAATATATTCCTTGTATGATCTGTGTTGTTTGTGGTGCAATTATTTTCTATCTTCTCAATCATTAGCAGAGGGAGACAAAACAAGTTTCAGATGAAGAAAATTAAAGTCAAATTTATCAACCGACATGCACTGTCATCAAGAAATTGAACATATTAACTTTGGCATTGTCTTGCAACTTCGGTTGTGAAATGAAGAATTATGGAGTTATTTGCAGGATATGTTGGAGATCATCAAGCCACTGCTGAGACCTTGGATTCAGAGGGCTGGCTAAAGACAGGAGATCTCTGTTATTTTGACTCTGATGGTTTCCTTTACATTGTTGACAGGCTAAAGGAACTCATCAAGTATAAAGCATATCAGGTGCACAACACACCCCTCAGTTCTGTCTCTTTTGTGAAGCATTTCTAGTTGTAGTTGCAGGTGCCATTCACAGCTTTAATCGTCCATTGGCTGATGAGGGTTTGCAATACAATGCAGGTTCCACCTGCTGAGTTGGAACATCTGCTGCAATCGATTCCTGAGATAGCTGATGCAGCTGTAATCCCGTATGCATCTCCAACTAAGACGTGCCTTTATTGTTCAGCCTTCAGAATCTCAAAGCATGTTTCCACTGGTATGTATCAACTCCTAAGTTTGACTCCCTAGTGTTGTCTAACTGCAGATATCCTGATGAAGAAGCAGGTCAGATTCCCATGGCTTACATTGTTAGGAAACCAGGATCACATATCACTGAAAGGCAAATTCTGGATATTGTTGCACAACAGGTACTTTTACCTCTCAAAATTCTGTACAATTCATCGACTCGAGAGCAAAATCATCTTAGTAATTTCATAAAAGATAGAATACCTCTTCAAAATTTAAAATAGGATTTTGATGTCTACAGCTAGAGGATTGAGCGATAATTCCAAAGGAAAATTGCTGCAACTTCTTGATGTTGATAGTCACAATTTTTCCTCTAAATGCCAGCTCTTACTTTGTCTTCTCATTTTTCTCTCGTCGAAGGTTGCAGCATACAAGAAGATACGACGCATTGCATTTATCAGCTCAATTCCCAAGTCTCCAGCAGGGAAAATTTTGAGGAGGGAACTGGTTAATCTTGCTACTTCTGCTGCTCCAGCTAAATTATGAGGGCAGGAAAGGCTTCTTGCTTTAGATTTTTGGCATTGTGATAATTAATAATTTCAGGGCTTGTTCTATTTTGTACTCATTATTAAAACTCTAAACTACCACCACCTCTAAATTGCATATTACAATTTTCTGGAAGAGGTTTACAGGAAAAATGTAGAGAACCTAAACAATTATCAAGTGTGTTGGGATATGCAACTTTTTCTACATATTTTGCTAGATTATGTTTGGTATCAAAATAATTTTAGTAATTAGAAAAATAAGGATATTTGTTAACTAAAGATCATGTTGGTTTGTTAACAAATATTTTAGATAAGATTTGCTAGTAGAAGAAGATTATATTTTGTTGAGATTTTTAGGATAATTGTTAGTTGGATATTTTGTTAGTTTGTTACATGTAATCACTATAAATAGTGAGTTGATGAATGTAGAACATAAGCTCGTTTTCTGCCTTCAATACAAGTTTCTTATAAGTTTTTTTTGCAACACTAAGGTGTTATTTCTTAGTTTATGCCCCCAAAAAATCAACAAAGTGGTATCAAGAGCTTATATCTTAAGGGTCTGAGTCTTCTTTTTTTTAGAGTGATGCATTGGTGAGAATCCTTTATAAGTTCAAAGCCATGACAGGAAAGAACTTTTTGTCAAATGTTTCAACTTTTAGTGGTGAAACTTACCAAATTTGAGCCATAAAATTTTGGACTTATTTGATAGTCAATGATCTACGGGATATGATGGAAACGAATTTTGTTTCATCAGCATTTGAAGAGCTGATGGATACACAAATTAGAGACCACAGAATTGCAGTTAGACAGAGATCCAAGGCCAGCATTCACATATCAGTTTTTGATACTATTTTCACAAAGATGATGGCTAATGATTTGATTGAGAATAAATTATTCTCAATTAAAATAAGAAGGAGAAGTTTCACTATGAATTGGTCAGATTTTGACAATTCTAAAGTGGAACATGATGATGAAATCAAGAATTCAGATCTTGAAAAAATTCAGGAGGAGATCATTGATAAGTTAGAAAGTATCAAATTGATTCCTGATATTTATCAAGATTATAACATTTCTGCTTTTGAGTCTACAGATTTTGATGATGATGACAAAATGAAGAACCATGCAGAATTTCATATTTTCTGTATAGGTTCAAATATCGTCAAAGGATATTCCACTTTAAACCTATGAGAAGGTTATTTGAAAACATTAAAAAAATCATCTTTTATGTGGAGTTTGGCATAAGAAGACAAAAGAAGTGGTTTGTTGCAAGACTAATATTTAGCTTGCATAAAAATCTAAAGGAAGAAGTTCATTGCAAGGCTAATCATCAATTGCAGAATTTCTTACAAAAGTTTCGTCCAAAACAAGATTCAAAAATTTGAGAAGACAATTTAAAATCTGCAGCAAAAGTGGCAAGAAGGAGTGTTGGAATATGCAACTTTTTCTACATATTTTGCTAGATTATGTTTGGTATCAAAATAATTTAGTTATTAGAAAAATAAGGATATTTGTTAACTAAAGATCATGTTGGTTTGTTAACAAATATTATAGTTAAGATTTGCTAGTAGAAGAAAATTATATTTTGTTGAGATTTTTAGGATAATTGTTAGTTGGATATTTTGTTAGTTTGTTACATGTAATCACTATAAATAGTGAGTTGATGAATGTAAAACATAAGCTCGTTTTCTGCTTTCAATAAAAGTCTCTTATAAGTTTTTTTACAACACTAAGGTGTTGTTTCTTAGTTTATGTTCCCAAAAAACCAACAAAGTGCCTTGGGGGCATTGAATATAAGAAACTTTGGGAGGAGACTTGATAAATCTTTCAACATTTTGAACCATTTCATTTTGGTTAATTATTCTGTGTGTAGTCCCTTTAATTTGATTGTGTCATCGTAATATAGCAATTTCTATTTCTTCCCGTTAATAAAGTGCCCAGAAACCACAGCGACGTCTTGTTGGATTGATTTCTTAGATTTGTCGTATTTATAGATTTCAAATTTATACGTATTTATATTATATTGGTGATATATTTTTTGTTATTAGTGCAAATTGATTGAATGAAATTATCTTTTTTATAAAAAAAAAAATACGGCAACAAGAATATCACAAAAAGGAAAGACTCTTCTGTTCGTAACTATCTCTGGTAATTTTATCCTACAACCTTTCTAATTATGCCATTTAGTAGTAAAAAACCAGACGGGATCCTCTGTCCATTATATCTGTCCATTTTTCCTATCCAATGCAAAACTATGTAGTTTCGTTGATTAATACCATTGATGTGGCACATAACATTGAATGCATATTTAGGGGGTGTTTGGTAAATGGGTTTCAAATTCAATAATATCCTAATTGTATCCATAGTCTTCTACTTTGGAATTTCACACCGCATGATTCAGATGAGATTAGGTAAGCATTTGAGAACGAGATCCTTAAGTTTGTCAGAGTTGCAGTTACGTGCAGTTATGTTGATTTAGAAAATAGGCCGTCCATGTTAAAATTGAATTTGAAACCCATTTTCCAAACACCTTCTATCAATGTTATGTGCCACATCAACAGTATTAGTAAATGAAACTACGTAAATTTGCATAGGATAAGAAAAATGGACAGAGGATCCCATCTGGTCTGGTTTTTGTTCCTTTTTTTTTGGATTGAACTTTTATTGCTGGACCATGTTTGGTGGTAGGCAATACGGCAATATCTTTTTTAATACTAGTTAATTTTAATAATTATACCAACAAAACAAATATAAAATAGTTAGAAAATATAAAAGAAACTCCAATAATTAATATTCAACAAGCTAGTGAATAGAGTATCCAAATATTTAAATTTGGCTAAATTCTGAAATTGAGCAGCTGAGCTGGACTAAACTCGACCCGATTTTTGAAGAATATCAGGGATTTGGTTGGTTAAACTGAGACATCATCTTTAAAAAAAATAATAATGAGTTTACATCATTATTCATGACCATTTGTGCTCTGGGCAAAGAAGTAGTTTGCTAATAATCACAAGAAAATTAATTTACATCTCGACCATAGCTAGGCATTGAAGCCTAAATAGATAAAAAGAAAGCGGATTCACGCCTATTTTCTACTTTTTTTTATTTTTGTTTTATATTCCATTTATTTGACAAATTTCATGTTCTTTACATTCCTAGTTCGTCATACAAAAAATTTGGCAATCTTGATCGAATGGTTTAGCAACAGTGTAAGCACAATTTATAGTTGACTAATTGGAAGGCCATGGTGTTGGTGGACGCTGACAAATCACAATCCAATAATTAGTTTTATGTATATATATATATGTACATATATACATATATATATGTATATGTAAACACACACATATATGTATGTATATATATACATACATATATGTGTATACATGTATATATGTATATGTAAACACACACACATATATGTATGTATTACATATATATATACTGTAGACACCAAATTTTTGTCAATTTTTAATATTTTCTCAGGATTTTTCTATTTAATAAGTTATTTATTTTCTTGTATTTTAATGTGCATTTTCTCATTTTTGCAGGTTTGCTTTACGAAAAGAAAAAAAAAACAACAAAACAACAAAAATCAAAAAATCAAAAAATCAAAAAATCATTTTGATCATTTTGTTTCACCAAATTAACTATTAACCCATTTCACACTCAATGGCCATGGACTTGTCTTTTCATTAGTTGAGAAATCATCATTTTGGCAAATTGAGGACACAAGCTCCACTTTCTTTCCCAATAGACATCTCTCGGCTCTCTCCAGCAAAAAAAAAAAAAAAAGAAGAAAAAAAAAATACTTCCTCAATCTCCCTCTCTCGGCTAGCTCTTAACAGACGAGAACAAAAACCAAAAAAAAGGAAAAAAATACTTCCTCAATCTCCTCTCTCGGCTCTCACGGACAGAGGACAAAAAAAAAAAAAAAAAAGAAGACTCCACCTTTTTGGCTCAATTTGCTCTCTCGGCTCTCTCCCTCATCAGATAAGAGGAACAAAAAAAAAAAGGGCTCCCTCTACACATTTTCTTCCACAAAATCCAAACACAAAGAAGGGAAAAGGCAGCTATCGGTCAAGGCTTGGAAATTTCATCAAAACTTCAACCGAAAGATTTTCATATTTATTGAGGTATACTTTTAGTTTTTTTGTCATATTAAATCAATGCTTCATTGCTTAGTTTTCTTTCGTTTCTGCTGGCTGCCTTGCATTGTCGTTGTTGTATTGTTAAAAATTGGGAAATGGCCTGAGTCAGTTTTAGGAAAAGGAAATGTTTATTATGTATGCATATTAACTGTTTGGTAAAATGCCGAAAACGGAAAAATGGATTAAAAAGCTGAACATTGTGCATGTTGTTGTCAAAACGGATGACCGTTAGCTAGCACCAATATCTGAAAATGTTGGGTTATTTAAGTATTTTGAAGTTTTGAGCCTTTAAAGGCATTGAAATATTTTCTTTATTTTTGGGGCTGTTTTGATTTAATGCATTCTTTTGTTGTTGTTTACTTGTCAAACTAAGATCATAGTTGTATTGTAAAAGTCATAGGGAGGGTTTTGGCATAATTTTTATGATTTTTGGTGAAGATGTGAGGGTTTTAAAAAATAAAAACTGAACTGATTTCTTGGCATTTTGGCCACTTTTGGGTCATTTTCTGTAAAAACTAAGTCCAAAAATGGAGTATGTGCGAAAAATCGAGTGAGGGGGTGTATTTTGAGGATTTTTGGTGACCGGAGAGGTCGGCGGCGGCGGCGGCGCCACCGGCAGCCGCCATGGCCACCAGCTGAAGTTTTCTTCAGCTGGCCGAACAAGAAGAAGAGGAAACGGAAGGGGAGAAGGAGAAAGAAAAGAAAGAAAAGAAAGAAAAGAAAAGAAAGAAAGAAAAAAAGGGAATTGGGCTAATGTTTATTTTTCTAATGGGCCAAGAGTTAGTTTTGGTTGGGTTTTGGAGTTGGGTTCTGGTTTATTTTCTTTTGGGTTTCTGTTGGGCTAAGAGATTGGAGCCCATATATTTTGATCGGGTTTGAGTGATAAAAGACGGGCTGGCCTGTGTGTTTGGTCTTGGATTTTCGGCTGGGCTTAGGTATTATCCAGCCCAAATAAATAAAAATAACGGCCCGATGGCCTTTCTTCTCCCAAATCAGAAACCGAATTTTGCATTTTGGCCCCTGATCTTTGGAGTAGTTTTACTGCAGCCCAGAACATTTTAAATTTCTTTCAT